AGGTCAGCCTAAATGTTTCTAACCGGCGAAGATGTTCCATTAGGGGGGTCCACGTTTCGCAAGCGTAGAGAAGGGAGGGAATGACCGTGGCCGAGAAGACCTGAAGCTTAGTGCGGAGCGACAGACCAGGTAGCTTCCACACAGCGTTACGCAACCGATGAAAAGATATTGCCGCTCGACTGATTCGGAGTGAGACCTCTGCTGTTAAACTGGAGCCAGTCATAAGCACACTGCCCAGGTATGGGAAACTCTCCACTCTCTCCACAACTGCCCCATCACCGATTGGGAGTTGTGGGGGTGGAGTGTCCGATGGTACAAAATACCCAGGCAGGTGCTTAGTTTTGGTGGGGCTGATGGTAAGGCCCCACCTCTTAGTGGCACGCTCCAGTCTCAGCAGCAGCGTCTCCAACTCCTCCTCTGACTGAGCAGCTATTACCAAGTCATCAGCATACATAACGTGGTTGAGCAATAGGGAGCCATCCCTTGACCGCACCCGGGCATCGATTAGCCTCCCATTATATCTGTACCATATGGAGATTCCCCCGGTACAGCTATTGAAGGCTTCACGAACTACGTGGTCAAAATAGATGTTAAATAATGTGGGAGCCAGAGGACATCCCTGTCGCACCCCAAGGTGTACAGGGAATGGCTCTGACTCCCGGCCACGTAGTTTTACCCGGGCCCGCTCACCATCATGAAGGTCCTTAATGATCGTGAGCAGAGGGTCAGGTACTCCAAAAGCACGAAGAACGACCCAGAGCCCAGGCCTACTGATGGTATCATAGGCCTTGACCAGGTCAATAAAGCAGAGATGTAGGTCTTGTTGGAATTCCCTACACCTCTGCTGTAGCAGACGGACAGAAAATATGGCATCTGTGCAGGACCGCCCTTTCCTGAAACCGCATTGGGGCTCCGCAAGCCTCTCCTCAGCGTGCCTGGCAAGGCGATGCTGAATAATCCTTGCCAGGACCTTTCCCGGCACACTGAGGAGTGAGATGCCCCTGTAGTTGTTACAGTCTGTGCGGTCCCCCTTCTTAAAAAGGGGGACCACCAGGGCATCCTTCCAATCCTGCGGAACCCGTCCAGTGGTCCAGACTGTTGTTATGATGTCATATAGGGCAGTCTGTGCACAAACGCCACCCTCCCTCAGCATTTCGCTTGGGAGATCGTCTCTGCCCGCTGCCTTTCCTGGTCTCAGACTCCGGATCGCCTTCAATACTTCCTCAGCAGATGGCACCTCAGCCAGCCACTCACAGGGGGTGACTTCATCCAATATTTGAGGCACCGCAGCCTCAGCAGGGTCATCCTCACTTTGTGCCACGATGTTTTCCTGGCTGTGGGATTTTCCCTCCCCCAGGACCTCACAGAAATGCTCAGCAAATCTGCGAACCTGTTCCTGGGGGTCGGAAATTGGATCACCGTTTTTTTCCCCTAATGATGGTAATAGGTGTGGCGCTGCAGGTTACTTTTTTGATGGAGTTAAATAGCGATTTGTGATCACGGGCCACTGAGGCAGACTCCATCTCCTCAGCAACCCGCGACCACCACCCATCCTTGCAGCGCCTCACGGCTCTCCGAACCTCCGAGCGAAGGCTGCGGTAAGCCTCCTCATTCTCTGACGTGGGATCCTGTAGCCGATGACAGTGGGCCTGTCGCTTTTTCTCAACCATCCTGAACAACTCCTCTGTCATCCAGGGTGTCTGGGGAGGTCTGGACCGCGTACCCAAAGCAGCCATTGCAGCTGCATGAGTCACAGTCCTAAACCTCGCCCATTTACCCTCGACATCAGGAGGAGTCGGGGACGATGCCAATCCCAGCCGCAAGCGATGATGAAATTCTCGCTTGCAACTTTCATCAGATAACTGAGACCAGGCCACTTTAGGTTGGAATGGGGTCCTGGGTGTACACCCACCACCGGAGTGGAAGAATGGCAGGCGCATCTTACAGATGACTAGTCGATGGTCAGAGGGCAGATCAGCTCCACGGTAGGTCCTGGTGTCAAGGACATGGGCTCGCATTCGCTGGTCCGTCACTATGTAGTCCAGCAGATGTTCTTGCTTGGACCCGGCATGCATCCATGATGTTGTGTGGATGCGCCGATGCCGGAACAGCGTGTTGGTAATTACAAGCCCATGGGCTGCACAAAAATCTAGCAGCCTCCTACCGTTGTTATTGAGCTGATCTGGCCCATGCCCTCCAATCACTCCAGACCAGGTGCCAGTATCATGACCAACTCGGGCATTGAAGTCACCCAACATGATGACTCTATCCCGAGGGGCCACTTTAGCCAGCACCTGTGACAGGAGGTCATAGAAGGCATCTGACTCATCGGCTTTGCCTGCATCCCTCCACGGATGTTCATCTTCGGTGGGGGCATAAGTAACCACGACCACCATTCCTCGCCTCCGGTTGATGGGAAGGCGAGCCCAAAGTAGCCTGGGGCTTACAGCTTCCCACACCTCACCGCCACGCTCCCACGCCCCCTTCATTCTTTTATTCAAAAGAAGACCCACACCCTGTTGTTTGGCAGTCTGCTGCCCCGAGTAGAGGACTGTCCACCCCTCATGGTGGCAGGAGCCAGAGCCGGTCCACCGGACCTCCTGAATGCCGCATAGATCCAGGCGGTACCGGTCCAGCTCCCGACAGAGGAGTGGCAGCCTCTCCTCTGCAGTGAGCGTTCGAACATTCCACGTGGCCACCCGTAGTGGCTTTTCGTTGTTTCTGGAGTAGCCCCGAGGGTAGGTATTCAATCTCCTGGCTCCGCCAATTGGGGTTTGGCCAGGAGACGTCATAGACGCCTGGCCCCCCGGGGCCTCCGGCACAAGCTTAGTTGTTACATATTTCACTTTAATTCGTGGTTTTGTGGTAATTAATTGAAGGTGGAGGGGTTACCAGCCCCTCGCACCCATCCAGAGCCCCCGTTTAGCCCCTGTGGTGGACACATATGCCATGAGGGGAGGAGCCAATCAAAATTGGAACTCCCCCCACAGCACTGTCCACGACAGAGTTGCCCGTCCGGCACCGCGAGGAGGTAGGGGGTTGTTTTGCCGGACAAGATAAAGATCCCCCATATAGCCTTAACAGACTGTAGGGGCAAGTGCTGTTAGCGAGCACCTATGAAGGCCGGAACGGTATACGAGGGGGTGGGTGGCCAGCACCACGCCCGACCGCCTTTGTCTCCCTAGTGGCAATGTTTGCACACCGCACCAGGTACTCATTTGAGGCTGAGTCGACCTAGGGGAGGCCCGGGACCGGTTCAGATAATCGTCACTGATGTTGGCCGTGAGCGGGAATCGAACCCGGGTCGCCATGTTCATAGCGCAGCGCGCTAACCGCTACACCACCGCTCCCCACTGTACACACACACACAGGTGTACACACACACACAGGTGTACACACACACACACTGTACACACACACACAGGTGTACACACACAGGTGTACACACACACACACAGGTGTACACACACACACAGGTGTACACACACACACACAGGTGTAGACACACAGGTGTACACACACACACAGGTGTACACACACACACACAGGTGTACACACACACACAGGTGTACACACACACACACACACAGGTGTACACACACACAGGTGTACACACACACAGGTGTACACACACACAGGTGTACACACACACAGGTGTACACACACACAGGTGTACACACACACACAGGTGTACACACACACACAGGTGTACACACACACACAGGTGTACACACACACACAGGTGTACACACACACACAGGTGTACACACACACAGGTGTACACACACACAGGGGTACACACACACACACAGGTGTACACACACACACAGGTGTACACACACACACACAGGTGTACACACACACACAGGTGTACACACACACACAGGTGTACACACACACACAGGTGTACACACACACACACAGGTGTACACACACACACAGGTGTACACACACACACACAGGTGTACACACACACACAGGTGTACACACACACACAGGTGTACACACACACACAGGTGTACACACACACACAGGTGTACACACACACACAGGTGTACACACACACACAGGTGTACACACACACAGGTGTACACACACACACAGGTGTACACACACACACTACGTGTGACGACCCGCCCCCTCCCCGCACGCCCCCTCCTACCCCGCCCCCCTACCCCGCCCCTTTCCTCCCCACTCCCCCCCTACCCCGCCCCTCCCCCCCTGTCCTGGGCTCGAACCCGGCGAGTCGCGATCGGTGCGGGCAGCGGGGGGCGGGGCTAGAGACAGGGGGCGGGGCTAGAGACCGGGGGCGGGGCTAGAGAGGGGGACGGCCGCCTCCCCCACCCACAAACCCCTCGCGGTCACCACCACCACTCGTGACTAACGAGCACCCCCCCCCCCTGTCTCCCCCCTCCCTCCCTCCACCCCCTCCACCCTCTCCCTCCCTCCACCCCCTCCCTCTTCCCCCTCCCTCTTCCCCCTCCCTCCACCCCCTCCCTCCACCCCCTCCCCCCACCCCCTCCCTCCACCCCCTCCCTCCACCCCCTCCCTCCACCCCCGCCCTCCACCCCCTCCTCCCTCCACCCCCTCCCTCCACCCCCTCCCTCCACCCCCTCCCTCCACCCCCTCCCTCCACCCCCTGCCTCCCTCTCCCTCCCTCCACCCCCTCCCTCCACCCCCTCCCTCTTCCCCCTCCCTCTCCCTCCCTCCACCCCCTCCCTCTTCCCCCTCCCTCCACCCCCTCCCTCCACCCCCTGCCTCCACCCCCTGCCTCCTCCCCCTCCCTCCACCCCCTGCCTCCCTCCAACCCCTCTCCCTCCCTCCACCTCCCTCTCTCTCCCTCCCTCCCTCCACCCCCCTCCCTCTCCAACCCCCTCCCTCTCCCTCCCTCCACCCCCTCCCTCTCCCTCCCTCCACCCCCTCCCTCTCCAACCCTCTCCCTCCCTCCACCCTCTTCCCCCTCCCTCCACCCTCCCTCTCCCCTCCTGCACCCCTGAACCCCGACCTTGACCTCTGACCCCCTCCTTTACAGGATCCACCAACACACATTGTGATGAGAGGTGTGTGTGGTGGTGATGGTGATGATGTGGTGATGGTGGTGATGGTGATGTGGCGATGATGATGATGATGTGGTGATGATGATGTGGTGATGATGATGATGTGGTGATGGTGATGATGATGTGGTGATGGTGGTGATGTGGTGATGATGATGTGGTGATGGTGATGTGGTGATGGTGATGTGGTGATGGTGATGTGGCGATGATGATGATGATGATGTGGTGATGTGGTGATAGTGATGATGATGTGGTGATGATGATGTGGTGATGGTGACGTGGTGATGGTGATGATGTGGTGATGGTGATGATGATGATGTGGTGATGGTGATGATGATGTGGTGATGGTGATGATGATGTGGCGATGATGATGATGTGGTGATGGTGATGATGATGTGGTGATGATGATGAGGTGATGGTGATGATGATGTGGCGATGGTGATGATGATGTGGCGATGGTGATGATGATGTGGCGATGATGATGATGTGGTGATGGTGATGATGATGTGGTGATGGTGATGATGATGTGGTGATGGTGATGATGATGTGGTGATGGTGATGATGATGTGGCGATGGTGATGATGATGTGGTGATGGTGATGATGATGTGGCGATGGTGATGATGATGTGGTGATGGTGATGATGATGTGGTGATTGTGATGATGATGTGGTGATGGTGATGATGATGTGGCGATGATAATGATATGGTGATGATGTGGTGATGGTGATGATGATGTGGCGATGGTGATGATGATGTGGCGATGGTGATGATGATGTGGTGATGGTGATGATGATGTGGTGATGGTGATGATGATGTGGTGATGATGATGTGGCGATGATGATTTGGTGATGGTGATGATGATGTGGTGATGGTGATGGTGGTGATGGTGATGATGATGTGATGGTGATGATGATGTGGTGATGGTGGTGATGTGGTGATGATGATGTGGTGATGGTGATGTGGTGATGGTGATGTGGTGATGGTGATGTGGCGATGATGATGATGATGATGTGGTGATGTGGTGATAGTGATGATGATGTGGTGATGATGATGTGGTGATGGTGACGTGGTGATGGTGATGATGTGGTGATGGTGATGATGATGATGTGGTGATGGTGATGATGATGTGGTGATGGTGATGATGATGTGGCGATGATGATGATGTGGTGATGGTGATGATGATGTGGTGATGATGATGAGGTGATGGTGATGATGATGTGGCGATGGTGATGATGATGTGGCGATGGTGATGATGATGTGGCGATGATGATGATGTGGTGATGGTGATGATGATGTGGTGATGGTGATGATGATGTGGTGATGGTGATGATGATGTGGTGATGGTGATGATGATGTGGCGATGGTGATGATGATGTGGTGATGGTGATGATGATGTGGCGATGGTGATGATGATGTGGTGATGGTGATGATGATGTGGTGATTGTGATGATGATGTGGTGATGGTGATGATGATGTGGCGATGATAATGATATGGTGATGATGTGGTGATGGTGATGATGATGTGGCGATGGTGATGATGATGTGGCGATGGTGATGATGATGTGGTGATGGTGATGATGATGTGGTGATGGTGATGATGATGTGGTGATGGTGATGATGATGTGGTGATGATGATGTGGCGATGATGATTTGGTGATGGTGATGATGATGTGGTGATGGTGATGATGATGTGGTGATTGTGATGATGTGATGGTGATGATGATGATGTGGTGATGGTGATGATGATGTGGTGATGATGTGGCGATGATGATGTGGTGATGGTGATGATGATGTGGTGATGGTGATGATGATGTGGTGATGGTGATGATGATGTGGCGATGATGATGTGGTGATGGTGATGATGATGTTGATGATGATGATGTGGTGATGGTGATGATGATGTGGTGATGGTGATGATGATGTGGTGATGGTGATGATGATGTGGTGATGGTGATGGTGATGATGATGTGGTGATGGTGATGATGATGTGGTGATGGTGATGATGATGATGTGGTGATGGTGGTGACACAGGGTAGGGGGTGGCCATGCCGTGGGTATTTCTCAGTGATGCCTAACTCGCAGTCGCCCGCTGTGTGACCCTTGACCTCGCGGCATGCCCCACAGACAAAGCTGCCTCAGGTAGCCTCTAGCAGGCTGTAGGGGCAAGTGCTGCTAGTGGCGAGTAGCACCACCTATGACACACACACAGACAAAGCTCCCCCAGGTAGCCTCTAGCAGGGCTGTAGGGGCAAGTGCTGTTAGCTAGCGAGTAGCAGCAGCAGTGTCTATGTACTACACACACCACACACAGACAAAGCTCCCCCAGGTAGCCTCTAGCAGGGCTTTAGGGGCAAGTGCTGTTAGCTAGCGAGTAGCAGCAGTGTCTATGTACTACACACACCACACACAGACAAAGCTCCCCCAGGTAGCCTCTAGCAGGGTTTTAGGGGCAAGTGCTGCTAGTAGCGAGTAGCACCACCTATGACACACACAGACAAAGCTCCCCTAGGTAGCCTCTAGCAGGCTGTAGGTTAGATAGTGCCATGATGGCCAGGAGACAGACTCCACATATACAGCAGCAGCAGGCGTCATCAGGGTAGTGATTGAACCCACGACCTCCTGTATACCAGGCGAGGTAGTCAACATCTAGCCACTGTGGTGTCAGGGTCAGGATCTAACCCACGACCTCCTGTAGGCCAGGCGAGGTAGTCAACATCTCCTAGCCACTGTGGTGTCAGGGTCAGGATCTAACCCACGACCTCCTGTATACCAGGCGAGGTAGTCAACATCTCCTAGCCACTGTGGTGTCAGGATCTAACCCACGACCTCCTGTAGACCAGGCGAGGTAGTCAACATCTAGCCACTGTGGTGTCAGGGTCAGGATCTAACCCACGACCTCATGTAGACCAGGCGAGGTAGTCAACATCTCCTAGCCACTGTGGGTGTCAGGATCCGGGATCGAACCCACGACCTCCTGTATACCAGGCGAGGTAGTCAACATCTCCTAGCCACTGTGGTGTCAGGGTCAGGATCTAACCCACGACCTCCTGTAGACCAGGCGAGGTAGTCAACATCTCCTAGCCACTGTGGGTGTCAGGATCCGGGATCAAACCCACGACCTCATGTAGACCAGGCGAGGTAGTCAACATCTCCTAGCCACTGTGGGTGTCAGGATCCGGGATCAAACCCACGACCTCCTGTAGACCAGGCGAGGTAGTCAACATCTCCTAGCCACTGTGGGCGTCAGGGTCAGGATCGAACCCACGACCTCCTGTAGACCAGGCGAAGTAGTCAACATCTCCTAGCCACTGTGGTCTCAGGATCCGGGATCGATCCCACGACCTTCGCGTACCAGGCGAGGTAGTTAGCAGCTACCCTTGACTGTGGTCTCTCTGATGGCAAAGATGACCACGGTTGGCTACGTACGGTGCAGAGGAAGTTCCACACACAGAGACCCACAGACACCCAGACCCATAGACACCCACAGAGACCCACAGAGACCCACAGAGACACCCATAGAGACACCCACAGAGACCCACAGACACCCAGACCCATAGAAACCCAGGCCCACAGAGACCCGCAGAGACATCCATAGAGACACCCACAGAGACCCACAGAGACCCACAGAGACACCCATAGAGACACCCACAGAGACCCACAGACACCCAGACCCATAGAAACCCAGGCCCACAGAGACCCACAGAGACACCCATAGAGACACCCACAGAGACCCACAGACACCCAGACCCATAGAAACCCAGGCCCATAGAAACCCACAGAGACACCCACAGAGACACCCACAGACACCCAGACCCATAGAAACCCAGGCCCACAGAGACCCACAGAGACACCCATAGAGACACCCACAGAGACCCACAGAGACACCCATAGAGACACCCACAGAGACCCACAGAGACACCCATAGAGACACCCACAGATTCGCACAGTTGGCTACGTACAGTGCGACAGAAGTTCAGTGCTTGCGTGTTCAGGCAGCAGCAGTGGTGGTGATGGGCAGGCCGCAAGGTTAACGGTGAACCGTGTCTCTGTGTCTCTCTGTGTCTCTGTCTCTCTGTGTCTCACTCTGTGTCTCTCTGTCTCTCCGTGTTTCTCTCCGTGTCTCTCTGTCTCTCTCCGTGTCTCTCCGTGTCTCTCTCCGTGTCTCTCTCCGTGTCTCTCTGTCTCTGTCCGTGTCTCTATGTGTCTCTCTGCCTCTCTCTGTGTCTCTCCGTGTCTCTCTCCGTGTCGCTCCGTGTCTCTCTGTCTCTCTCTCTGTCTCTCTCCGTGTCTCTGTCTCTCTCTGTCTCTCTCCGTGTCTCTCTGTGTCTCTCCGTCTCTCTGTGTCTCTCTGTCTCTCTCCGTGTTTCTCTGTGTGTCTCTGCCTCTTTCTGTGTCTCTCCGTGTCTCTCTCTGCCTCTCTCCGTGTCTCTCTCCGTGTCTCTCTGTCTCTGTCTCTCTCCGTGTCTCTCTGTGTCTCTCTGTCTCTCTCCGTGTCTCTCCGTGTCTCTCCGTCTCTCTCCGTGTCTCTCTGTGTCTCTGTCTCTTTCTGTGTCTCTCTGTGTCTCTCCGTGTCTCTCTCCGTGTCTCTCTGTCTCTCTCCGTGTCTCTTTGTCTCTCTCCGTGTCTCTCTCCGTGTCTCAGTGTCTCTCTCCGCGTCTCTCTGTCTCTCTCCGTGTCTCTCTGTCTCTCTCTGTCTCTCTCCGCGTCTCTCCGTGTCTCTCTGTCTCCGCGTCTCTCCGCGTGTCGTTCCGCGTTTTGATTTGATATACGAAGTGAAAACTTGCTGTGTCTGTGTGTGTCTGTGTGCGTCTTGTCTGTGTGTCTGTGTGCGTCTTGTCTGTGTGTGTCTGTGTGTGTGTCTGTGTGCGTGTCTGTGTGCATGTCTGAGTGTGTCTTGTCTTTTGTGTGTTTGCGGTTGTGTCTGTGTGTGTCTGTCTGTGTGTGTCTGTCTGTCTGTGTGTGTCTCTGTCTCTGTGGGTGCACACTAATGTGTCCGTGTCTGTGTGTGTGACTGTCCGTGTGTGTGTGTCTTTGTCTCTTTGTCTGAGTGTCTTTATCTGCAATTGATGTGTGGGTTTTCACTCACTCACCGACCCACTCACCCACTCACCCACTCACCCACTCACTCACCTACTCACTCACTCACTCACCCACTCACTCACCCACCCACTCACTCACCCACCCACTCACTCACCCACCCACTCACCCACCCACTCACTCACCCACTCACTCACTCACCCACTCACTCACCCACTCACTCACCCACTCACTCTCCCACTCACCCACTCACCCAATCCCCCACTCACTCACCCACTCTCCCACTCACTCACCCACTCACTCACCCACTCACCCAATCCCCCACTCACTCACCCACTCTCCCACTCACTCACTCACACACTCACTCACTCACCCACTCACCCACTCACCCACTCACTCACCCACTCACTCACTCACTCACCCACCCACTCACCCAATCCCCCACTCACTCACCCACTCTCCCACTCACTCACCCACTCACTCCCCCACTCACCCAATCCCCCACTCACTCACCCACTCTCCCACTCACTCACCCACTCACTCCCCCACTCACCCAATCCCCCACTCACTCACCCACTCTCCCACTCACTCACCCACTCACTCCCCCACTCCCCCACTCACCCACCGCTCCACTCCCCCAGCTCTGAGGCCATCACGCAGCTCCCCACCCCAACTCTACCCAACGGGGAAGTCTTTGTCTTCCCATCTCCCCAACCCCTCCACCAACAACCCCCCCACCAACAACCCCCCCATCAACAACCCCCCCACCAACAACCCCGCTACACCGCCAACCCCTGGGCCACCCCACTACAACAACAACCACTACAACAACAACAACCACTTCAACAACAACCACTACAACAACAACAACCACTACTACAACCACTTCAACAACAACCACTACAACAACAACCACCACTACAACCAAGCTACCCAGCGGCACCAAACTACTACCCACAGCTCGTCACGACCGCCGCCGCTCCCCACCAACAACAACAACAACACCACCAACAACAACACCAACAACAACAACACCAACACCACCAACAACAACAACCGATGGGGGTTCCCCACCACCACCACCACCCCCACCACCACCACCACCACGGCCACGGCCATCCGGGGGCCGCGCCGGTGCCCCCCTCGCCGGGCCCCTCCCCCCGGCCCCACCCCCGGCCCCCGCCGCTGGCGGCCACCGGGCACCTGCGGGCGCTCTTCTTCCACAACCCGGCCTTCCAGATGGGCACCGCTGGCACCGCCACCGGCACCGCCACCGGCACCGGCACCGGCGCCGGCACCGGCGTGGAAGCCGGACATCACGGTGGAGGCTGCCCGCACCGCCCCCAGCAGCAGCAGCTGCAGGAGGAGTTTGCCGGCAGGCGTCAGCCGAGCGTCCGTTTCGAAGCGGCGTCGGCATCGGCGACGGCATCGGCGGCATCGGCGGCATCGGCGTCGGCGCTGTCGTCCGGCCCTCCCCGGCAGAGGAGCCGCGACTACCCCATGTCTGCACCGGGCCGCTGGCCCCAGCAGCAGCAGCAGCAGCAGCAGCAGACGGCACCGTCTCGCCAGCGCAGCGCCGACTACCCGGCGTCCGTGAGGCAGCAGCAGCAGCAGCAGCAACAGCAGCAACAGCTACAGCAGCAGCAGCAGCTACAACAGCAGCAGCAGCAGCTACAACAGCAGCAGCTACAGCAGCTCCAGCAGCCGTTCGTGGCGCGGCTGCAGCAGCCGCCCGCCCGCTCCATCCACCAGCGGCGTCGCCACACGGGGGCCGTGGGGGACGTCTCCCCGCAGGCGCCCCCCGTGCTGGGCGCCGGCTGCCCCCCCGCGCCCGGCCGGCTCCCGGCACCGCCGACGACGCCGGTGCCGGTGCCGGCGCCGGTGCCGTACGGAGCGCCGGGGCCGCGGGGGCTGCTGCGGTGCCCCGGCGAGGGAGCGGCGCCGCCGCACACACCCACGATGGCCCTGCAGCAGCAGCAGCAGCAGCAGCAGATGCTGATGATGATGCAGCAGCAGCAACAGCAGCAGCAGCAACAGCTACAGCAGCAGCTGCAGCTACAGCAGCAGCAGCAGCAGCAACAGCAGCCGTACCTTCAGCGCCAGCAGAGCAGCATCGCCATGATGGGCGGCAGACCGGATTACGCTCAGCAGCTGCAGCTGCAGCAGCAGCAGCAGCAGCTGCAGCTACAGCAACAACAGCAGTTTGCAGACGCGGCAGTCGTGATGAGGCAGCCGAGCGTTGCGTTTCAACAGCAGCAGGAGCAGCAGCAGCAGCAGCAGCAGGAGCAGCAGCAGCTACTGCTGCAAGGCAGGCGCCAGAGTGTGGGATACTTCCAGCCGCAGCCGCAGCAGCAGCAGCAGCAGCAGCCGCCAGGCAGCGCCGGCTTCTTGGGTCGGCAGGAGAGCACGGGATACGTGCAGCACGCTTACCCCATGGGGCCTCAGCAGCAGCAGCAACAGATGATGATGCAGCAGCAGCTGCAGCTGCAGCAGCAGCAGCAGCAGCAGATGATGCAGCAGCAGCAGCAGCAGCAGCAGCACGGGTCGGATCACTGCCTCCGGCACCAGCCGAGCGTGGTGTACGTGGAGAAGCACGACACCGCCGGCGGCGACGCCGGCGATGCCGGCGACGGCGTCTTCCCGTTCGCTGGGCGGCAGCAAAGCCTCGGGGTCCAGCCGACGTCCCGGCGGCCCAGCCTGGTGCTGCAGCGGCCCTCCGTGGAGCTGGCCCCTTCTCCGGCGCCGCCCGCCGCTCGCAGGCCCAGCGTCACCTTCCAGGCCGACGCCGCTGGCGCCGCTGCCACTGCCGTGCTCGCTCCACAGCTACAGCTACAGCTACAGCAGCAGCGGCAGCAGCAGCAGCAGCAGCAGCGGCGTCCCAGCGTCACGTTTCAGATGCAGCCCAGCTTTGAGCAGCAGCAGCAGCAGCAGCAGCAGCTGCAGCTGCAGCTGCTGAGGCAGCGGCAGCAGTCGTGGAGTCGCTCCGGCTCGGGGGGTCTGGGAATCCGCAACGGGAGAGGCGACTGCGGTGACGACGGTGACGACGGCGACGACGGCGACGACGACGACGACGACGACGCGGTGGCGGTGGTGGCAGCGGCCGAACGAGGTGGGCAGGAGGAGGAGGAGGAGGACGAGGAGGAGGAGGAGGAGGAGGAGGAGGATGGAGACCTGGACGACTGCGCTTTCGTTAACTCTGGCGGCGTTGGCGCGGGAATGGTGGTGGTGGTGGGCACTGGCGGAGTCGCCCAGGGGAGGGCCGTGCCCCAGGCCATGCCGTCACGCTCCGCCATGCGGCACGGAGGAGGAGGAGGAGGAGGCGGAGGAGGAGGAGGAGGAGGAGGAGGAGGAGGCGGAGGAGGAGGCGGAGGAGGAGGAGGAGGCGGAGGAGGAGGAGGGCCCCCGGAGCGAGCTCACCACACCACGAGGCAGAGCAGCGCCGGGCTGTACACGGAGATGCGCTACCTGGGGCGTCAGCCGTCCCAGCAGCAGCAGCAGCAACAGCAGCAGCAGCAGCGGCGCAAATCGTGGTGCGTGCAGCAGCAGCAACAGCATCAGCAGCAGCATCAGCAGCAGCATCAGCAGCAGCATCAGCAGCAGCATCATCATCAGCTGACGCCGGATGTGGACAGGCAGCAGGTGAGGAGAGGTTTGGTGGTGCTGGCGGGGAGTGCCAATCGGTAACGGCCGCCGGTGGCTGTGAGCAACGTACGTCGCGTGTACGTGCGTGTGTGCGTGTGTGTGTGCGCGTGTGTGTGCGTGTGTGCGCGTGTACGTGCGTGTGTACGTGCGTGTGTGTGTGCGTGTACGTGCGTGTGTGTGTGCGCGTGTGTGTGTGTGTGCGCGTGTACGTGCGTGTGTGTGGCGTGCGTGTGTGTGTGTGTACGTGTGTGTGCGTGTGTGTGTGTGTGTACGTGCGTGTGTGTGTGCGCGTGTACGTGCGTGTGTGTGTGGCGCGTGTACGTGCATGTGTGTGTACGTGTGTGTGTGTGTACGTGTGTGTGTGTGTACGTGTGCGTGCGTGCGCACACGTGCGCTGAACTTCTTTTGCACCACCGTACGTAGCCGACCGTGGTTAATGTGAGGTGTGGTGGGAGTGGTGGGAGCGGTGGGGGAGGGGGGCGATTGAACGAAGACTACAAACTGAACACAACAACACCAACAACCAGCAGTTGAGAGGGGAAGGCCGTAGCCATCACAGCGGCCAATGGGCGCTCTGGACAGACGGTGCTAGGGGCCAGCGACCCATCCACCTTCAATGTACCACAAAACCACGATGTGAACATCTCACTAAGCCTGGCCAAACCCCCACATGGCGGAGCCAGGAGATTGAATCTCTACCCTCGGGGCTCCTCCAGAAACAACGAAAAGCCGCTTCGTGTGGCCACGTGGAATGTTCGAACGCTCACTGCGGTGGAGAGGCTGCCGCTCCTCTGTCGGGAGCCGGACCGGTACCGCCTGGATCTCTGTGGCATTCAGGAGGTCCGGTGGACCGGCTCTGGCTCCTGCCACCATGAGGGGTGAACAGTCCTCTACTCGGGGCAGCAGACTGCCAAACAACAGGGAGTGGCTCTTCTTCTGAACAAAAGAATGAAGGGGACGTGGGAGCGTGGCGGTGAGGTGTGGGAAGCTGTAAGCACCAAGCTACTTTGGGCTCGCCTTCCCATCAACCAGAGGCGAGGAGTGGTGGTCGTGGTTACTTATTCCCCCACCGAAGATGAACATCCGTGGAGGGATGCAGGCAAAGCCGATGAGTCAGATGCCTTCTATGACCTCCTGTCACAGGTGCTGGCTAAAGTGGCCCCTCGGGATAGAGTCATCTTGTTGGGTGACTTCAATGCCCGAGTTGGTCATGATGCTGGCACCTGGTCTGGAGTGATTGGAGGGCATGGGCCAGATCAACTCAATAACAACGGTATGAGGCTGTTAGACTTTTGTGCAGCCCATGGGCTTGTAATTACCAACACGCTGTTCCGGCATCGGTGCATCCACACACCATCATGGATGCATGCCGAGTCCAAGCAAGAACATCTGCTGGACTACATAGTGACGGACCAGCGGATGTGGGCCCATGTCCTTGACACCAGGACCTACCGTGGAGCTGATCTGCCCACTGACCATCGACTAGTCATCTGTGAGATGCGCCTGCCATCCTTCCACTCCGGTGGTGGGCGTACACCCAGGACCCCATTCAAACCCACAGTGGCCTGGTCTCAGCTAGCTGATGAAAACTGCGGCTGGGGTTGACAGAGGAGCTGTTCCGGCTGGCTGAGAGAAGGCGACAGGCCCACTGCCGCCATCTACAGCATTCCACGTCAGAGAATGAGGAGGCTTACCGCAGCCTTCGCTCGGAGGTTCAGAGAGCTGTGAGGCGCTGCAAGGATGGGTGGTGGTCGCGGGTTGCCGAGGAGATGGAGTCTGCCTCAGTAGTCCGCGATCCCAAATCCCTATTTAACTCCCATCAAAAAAGTAACCTGCAGCGCCACACCTATTACCATCATTAGGAGAAATAACGGTGATCTTATCTCCAACCCCCAGGAACAGGTTTGCAGATTTGCTGAGCAATTGTGAGGTCATGGGAGAGTGAGTGAGTGAGCTGGTGAGTGAGTGAGTGAGCTGGTGAGTGAGTGAGTGAGCGAGCTGGTGAGTGAGTGAGTGAGCTGGTGAGTGAGTGAGCTGGTAAGTGAGTGAGCTGGTGAGTGAGTAAACTGGTGAATGAGTGAGCTGGTTGGTGAGTGAGCTGGTGAGTGAGTGAGTTGGTGAGTGAGTGAGCGAGTGAATGAGTGAGCTGGTGAGTGAGTTAGCTGGTGAGTGAGTGAGCTAGTGAGTGAGTGAGTGAGCTGGTGAGTGAGTAAGCTAGTGAGTGAGCTGGTGAGTGAGTTGGTGAGTGAACCAGCTGGTGAGTGGGTGAGTTGGTGAGTGAGTGAGCTGGTGAGTGAGTGAGCTGGTGAGTGAGTGAGTTGGTGAGTGAGTGAGCTGGTGAGTGAGTGAGCTGGTGAGTGAGTGAGCTAGTGAGTGAGTGAGCTGGTGAGTGAGTGAGCTGGTGAGTGAGTGAGCTAGTGAGTGAGTGAGTGAGCTGGTGAGTGAGTAAGCTAGTGAGTGAGCTGGTGAGTGAGTTGGTGAATGAGTGAGTTGGTGAGTGAGCTGGTGAGTGAACCAGCTGGTGAGTGAGCTGGTGAGTGAGTGAGCTGTTGAATAAGTGAGCTGGTGGGTGGGTGAGCTGGTGAGTGGGTGAGTTGGTGAGTGAACCAACTGGTGAGTGAGTTGGTGAATGAGTGAGCTGGTGAGTGAGTGAGTTGGTGAATAAGTGAGCTGGTGAGTGAGCTGGTGAGTGAGTGAGTTGGTGAGTGAGTGAGTTGGTGAGTGATTGAGTTGGTGAGTGAACCAGCTGGTGAGTGATCCTCACCGTTGACGATGACAGGGCCCAACCCGCTGCCGCACCCTCACGGCAGTGGGCGGGTCTCTCTTCCTAACTGTGCTCGCATGCCTGTCCTCCTCCTCCTCCTCCGTGCCTCCAACCTCCTCCTCCTCCGTGCCTCCAACCTCCTCCTCCTCCTCCGTGCCTCCAACCTCCGTCTCGTCGCCCCCCACCCTCTCACCCCCCTCGTTCGCCCGTCCGCTCGCTCGCCCGCTCACCGCCGAGCGAGCGAGCGAGTGAGTGAGCGAGTGAGCGAGTGAGCGAGTGAGCGAGCGAGTGAGTGAGTGAGTGAGCGAGTGAGTGACTGAGCGAGCGAGTGAGCGAGTGAGTGAGTGAGTGAGCTCGTGCGTGCGTGCCCTGTGTCTTTGTGTTTGTGCGCACCTGTACGTCTTGTGTGAGTTGCGTACCTGTGTCCGTCCGTGCGCGTGCGTCTGTCTGCACGTGCGTCTGCGCCTGCGTGTGTGTGCGTCTGTGTGCATGTCCGTGTGTGCGCGTGTCTGTGCGCGTCCGTGTGCGCGTCCGTACGTGCGTGTTCGCCCGACCGTACGTGCGTGTGCGTCCGTGTGTACGTGTGTACGTGCGTGTGTGCGTGCGTGTGTGCGTTCTTCCGTACGTGCGTGTTCGTCTGTACGTACGTGTGTGTGTTCGTCCGTACGTGCGTGTGTGCGTGCGTGTGTGCGTGCGTGCGTGTGTTCGCCTGTGCGTGTGTGTTCGTCCGTACGTGTGTGTGTGTGCGCGTGCGTGTGTGCGTGTGTGTGTTCGCCTGTGCGTGTGTGTGTTCGCCTGTGCGTGTGTGCGTGTTCGCCTGTGCGTGTGTGCGTGTTCGCCTGTGCGTGTGTGCGTGTTCGCCTGTGCGTGCATGTGTGCGTGTTCGCCTGTGCGTGCGTGTGTGCGTGCGTGTTCGCCTGTGCGTGCGTGTGTGTGTGTGCGTGCGTGTGTGCGTGCGCGTGTTCGCCTGTGCGTGTGTGTGTGCGTGCGTGTGTGCGTGTTCGCCTGTGCGTGCGCGCGTCTGCGGCTCCCAGGAGGAGCAGTGGTTCATGAATCTTCTGCGTCTGGAAGATGACGTGGAGCGCTTGCAACAGCTGAAAGATGGGCGCATGTCTCCTGAGAAGGTGAGGAGGTGGAGGAGGAGGAGGAGGAGGAGGCGGAGGAGGAGGAGGAGGAGCTGGTCATGGGTTGTGGATGAGGAAGAAGAGGAGGTGGTGGTGTGGAGGTTGTGGTGGAGGTTGTGGATGAGGAGGAGGTGGAGGAGGAGGAGCTGGTCATGGGTTGTGGATGAGGAAGAAGAGGAGGTGGTGGTGGTGGTGGTGGAGGAGGTTGTGGTGGAGGTTGTGGATGAAGAGGAGGAGGAGGTGGAGGAGGCAAAAACAACTCCCTACCTCCTGGTGCGTGCTGGACGCTGACGCTGTGGTGGCTGTGACCAACGGAGGCGACGGCCAAAACCCAACTCGGCTCTCCACCTTCACGGCGTTTGTAGCGGCCACTGGTGCCACCCGGGGGCTCTGGACGGGCGGTGCGAGGGGCGAGCAAACCCCTCATCCACCTTCACCTCAGTGTACCACACAACCACGATGCGAACATCTCACTAAGCCGGGCCAAACCCCCACATGGCGGAGCCAGGAGATTGAATCTCTGCCCTCGGGGCTCCTCCAGAAACAACGAAAAGCCGCTTCGTGTGGCCACGTGGAATGTTCGAACGCTCACTGCGGAGGAGAGGCTGCCGCTCCTCTGTCGGGAGCTGGACCGGTACCGCCTGGATCTCTGTGGCATTCAGGAGGTCCGGTGGACCGGTTCTGGCTCCTGCCACCATGAGGGGTGGACAGTCCTCTACTCGGGGCAGCAGACTGCCAAACAACAGGGAGTGGCTCTTCTTCTGAACAAAAGAATGAAGGGGACGTGTGAGTGTGGCGGTGAGGTGTGGGAAGCTGTAAGCCCCAGGCTACTTTGGGCTCGCCTTCCCATCAACCAGAGGCGAGGAGTGGTGGTCGTGGTTACTTATGTCCCCACCGAAGACGAACATCCGTGGAGGGATGCAGGCAAGGCCGATGAGTCAGATGCCTTCTATGACCTCCTGTCACAGGTGCTGGCTAAAGAGGGCCCTCGGGATAGAGTCATCTTGTTGGGTGACTTCAATGCCTGAGTTGGTCATGATGCTGGCACCTGGTCTGGAGTGATTAGAGGGCATGGGCCAGATCAGCTCAATAACAGCGGTAGGAGGCTGCTAGACTTCTGTGCAGCCCATGGGCTTGTAATTACCAACACGCTGTTCCGGCATTGCCGTATCTACAAAACATCATGGATGCATGCCAGGTCCAAGCAAGAACATCTGCTGGACTACGTAGTGATGGAACAGCGGATGCGAGCCCATGTCCTTCACACCAGGACCTACCGTGGAGCTGATCTGCCCTCTGACCATCGACTTGTCATCTGTAAGATGCGCCTGCCATTCTTCCACTCCGGTGATGGGTGTACACCCAGGACTCCATTCAAACCTAAAGTGGCCTGGTCTCAGCTAGCTGATGGAAGTTGCAAGCGAGAATTTCATCATCGCTTGCGGCTGGGGTTGGCATCGTCCCCCACTCATCCTGATGTCGAGGGTAAATGGGCGAGGTTTTGGACTGTGGCTCATGCAGCTGCAATGGCTGCGTTGGGCACACGGTCCAGACCTCCCCAGGGACCCTGGCTGACAGAGGAGGTGTTCAGGCTGGCTGAGAAAAAGCGACAGGCCCACTCTCATCGTCTACGGCGATCCAATCTCCGACCCCCAGGAACAGGTTTCAAGTTTGCTGAGCATATCTGTGAGGTCCTGGGGGAGGGGAAATCCCTCAGCCTGGAAAACATCGTGGCACAAAGTGAGGATGACCCTGCTGAGGCTGCGGTGCCTCAGATATTGGAAGAAGAAGTCACCCCCTGTGAGTGGCTGGCTGAGGTGCCATCTGTTGAGGAAGTACTGAAGGCGATCCAGAGCCTGAGACCAGGAAAGGCACCGGGCAGAGATGATCTCCCAAGCGAAATGCTGAGGGAGGGTGGCGTTTGTGCACAGACTGGGTTCTGCAGGATCGGAACAATGCCCTGGTGGTCCCCCTCTTTTAAGAAGGGGGACCACACAGACTGTAACATCTACAGGGGCATCTCACTCCTCAGTGTCTGCTACAGCAGAGGTGTAGGGAATTCCAGCAAGACCTACATCTCTGCTTTATTGACCTGGACAAGGCCTATGATACCATCAGTAGGCCTGGGATCTGGATTGTTCTTTGTGCTTTTGGAGTCCCTGACCCTCTGCTCACGATCATTAAGGACCTTCATGATGGTGAGCGGGCCCGGGTAAAACTACGTGGCCGGGAGTCGGAGCCATTCCCTGTTCACCTTAAGGTGCGACAGGGATGTCCTCTAACATCTATTTCGACCACGTAGTTCGTGAAGCCTTCGATAGCTGTACCGGAGGTATTTCCATCTGGTACAGATATAATGGGAGGCTGATCGATGCCCGGGTGCGGTCAAGAGATGGCTCCCTATTGCTCAACCACGTTATGTATGCTGATGATTTGGTAATAGCTGCTCAGTCAGAGGAGGAGTTGGAGACGCTGCTGCTGAGACTGGAGCGTGCCACTAAGAGGTGGGGTTTTACCATCATCCCCACCAAAACTAAGCACCTGCCTGGGTATTTTGTGCCATCAGTGGCTCAGTTGGTGATGGGGCACTTGTGGAGAGAGTGGAGAGTTTCCCATACCTGGGCAATGTGCTGATGATCAGCTCCTGTGTGACAGCTGAGGTCTCACTCCGAATCAGTCGAGCGGCAATATCTTTTCATCGGTTGCGTAATGCTGTGTGGAAGCTACCTGGTCTGCCGCTCCGCACTAAGCTTCAGGTCTTCTCGGCCACGGTCATTCCCTCCCTTCTCTACGCTTGCGAAACGTGGACCCCCCTAATGGAACATCTTCGCCGGTTAGAAACATTCAGGCGAGCTTGCCTACGATACATTCTGGGTATGACCAGGCTGGATTGTGTGAGGAGCTCACAAATCCTTGAAAGATCTGGGCAAGGTCCCATCGGTGAGCTCCTCCGGCGGGCAAGGCTGCGTTGGCTGGGCCATGTAGCCCGCATGCCCAGCCACCGCATGCCCAAACAGCTTTTGTTCGGCCGGATCGAGGGGGCTAAACGGGCGCGGCACGGGCTAGAGAAGAGATCGAGTGATGTGGTACAGGAGGACGTGGAGCTGAGTGGACTTGCCGATGACCGGTACCAGCGGTGTCAAGATCGGCCTCTGTGGAGGAGGCTCGTGAAGGACGCTACTGGGCAGTTGGAGGCAGTCGCCCTCCAACAACAACGGAGGGCGGAGGAGCGACGCTCACAACAACGAGCGGAGCGCCGGGTGGCTAAAGCACAGCAGGTTGGCACAGTAGCGGGCACAGGTGGTGCATCAGCCAGTCATCTCAGTCAGTCGACCCGTGGCACCTGCTGGGTCTGCCCCGTGACCTCCAGCCAGTGGGCGTTCGACACTTCACGTGGTAGCCTCAAGGTGCACATAGCTTGGCACAAGCGTTGTGGTGATGTTACCGCCACTTACTGGTGAATGGCGGTTGTTGTTGTGGAGGAGGAGGATACCTCGAGATTCTTTGATGATACCTCGACGAGATCATCGTCATTATCATCGTCATCATCGTCGTCGTCGTCATCATCGTCGTCATCTAGAGTGACACACTCGTGTGTTTACAACTGCTCCTACTTCTCCTACTGCTCCTACTGCTGCTGTTGTTGTTGTGTTGTTGTTGTGTAGTTTGTAGATTGGTGTCCTTCCACCGCACCTTTGATTAGCTTGGTTGTCTACGTACGGTGCCAACGAAGTTTAACACACACACAGGCACACACAGAGACACACATACACACAGAGACACACAGAGACACCCAGACACACAGAGACACACAGACACACAGAGACACACACAGACACAGAGACACACAGACACACCTAGACACAGACACCTAGACACACAGACACCTAGACACACAGACACACAGAGACACACAGACACACACATAGAGACACACATACACAGACACTGAGACACGCATAGAGACACACAGAGACACACACACAGAGACACACAGAGACACCCAGACACACAGACACACAGAGACAGAGACAGACACACCTAGACACACAGACACCTAGACACACAGACACACAGAGACACACAGACACACAGAGACACACAGACACACCTAGACACACAGACACCTAGACACACAGACACCTAGACACACAGAGACACACAGAGACACACAGAGACCTAGACACACAGAGACACACATAGAGACACACAGAGACACACGGACACAGACACCCAGACACACATAGAGACACACAGAGACACACAGACACCCAGACACCCAGACACACAGAGACACACATAGAGACACACAGAGACACACAGACACCTAGACACACAAAGACACAGAGACACACGGACACACATAGAGACACAGAGACACACAGAGAGACAGGGACACACAGAGACACACAGAGACACCCATAGAGACCCACAGAGACACCCACAGAGACACCCACAGAGACCCACAGATACACCATAGAAACCCACAGAGACACCCACAGAGACACCCACAGAAACCCACAGAGACACCCATAGAGACCCACAGAGACCCACAGAGACCCACAGAGACACCCATAGAGACCCACAGAGACACTGATAGAGACCCACAGAGACACCCATAGAGACTCACAGAGACTCACAGAGACACCCACAGAGACTCACAGAGACACCCACAGAGACTCACAGAGACACCCACAGAGACTCACAGAGACACCAATAGAGACTCACAGAGACTCACAGAGACACCCACAGACACCCACAGAGACACCCACAGAGACACCCATAGAGACACCCACAGAGACACCCACAGAGACACCCATAGAGACACCCACAGAGACACCCATAGAGACACCGATAGAGACACCCACAGAGACACCCATAGAGACACCCACAGACACCCACAGAGACTCGCACATTAGCACGTTTGGGTATGCACAGTGCCAAAGACGTTTAACATTTATACAGACCCCCTCAATCCCCTCTCTACCCTCTCTCTATCCCCTCTCTACCCCCCTCTCTACCCCCTCTCATCTACCCCCTCTCTACCCCCTCTCTAACCCCTCTATCCCCTCTCTAACCCCTCTCTACCCCCTCTCTACCCCCTCTCTTCCCCCTCTGTACCCCTCTCTACCCCTCTCTACCCCCTCTGTACCCCCTCTGTACCCCCTCTCCACCCCCTCTCCACCCCTCTGTACCCCCTCTGTACCCCCTCTGTACCCTCTCTGTACCCCCTCTCCACCCCCTCTCCACCCTCTCTCCACCCCCTCTGTACCCCCTCTGTACCCCCTCTCTACCCTCTCTGTACCCCCTCTCCACCCCCTCTCCACCCCCTCTGTACCCCCTCTGTACCCCCTCTCCACCCCCTCTGTACCCCCTCTCCACCCCCTCTCCACCCCCTCTGTTACCCCCTCTGTACCCCCTCTCCACCCCCTCTCCACCCTCTCTCCACCCCCTCTGTAACCCCCTCTGTACCCCTCTCTACCCCTCTCCACCCCCTCTCCACCCCCTCTGTAACCCCCTCTGTACCCCCTCTGTACCCTCTCTGTACCCCCTCTCCACCCCCTCTCTCCCCCCTCTGTACCCCCTCTCCACCCCTCTCCACCCCCTCTGTACCCCCTCTGTACCCCCTCTGTACCCTCTCTGTACCCCCTCTCCACCCCCTCTCTCCCCCCTCTGTACCCCCTCTCTACCCCCTCTCTCCCCCCTCTCTACCCCCTCTCCTCCCCCCTCTGTACCCCCCTCTGTACCCCTCTCTACCCCCTCTCTCACCCCCTCTGTACCCCCTCTCCACCCCCTCTCCACCCCCTCTGTACCCCCTCTCTCCCCCCTCTGTACCCCCTCTCCACCCCCTCTAGCCACCCCTTCTCCACCCCCTCTCCACCCTCTCTCTACCCCCTCTCTCCCCCCTCTGTACCCCCCTCTCCACCCCCTCTCTACCCCCTCTCTACCCCCTCTCTCCCCCTCTCTACCCCCTCTCCACCCCTCTGTACCCCCTCTCCACCCCCTCTGCACCCCCTCTGTACCCCCTCTCCACCCCCTCTCCACCCCCTCTGTACCCCCTCTCTACCCCCTCTCCACCCCCTCTGTACCCCCTCTCCACCCCCTCTCCACCCCCTCTGTACCCCCTCTCCACCCCCTCTCTACCCCCTCTCTCCACCCCCTCTCCACCCCCTCTCCACCCCCTCTCCACCCCCTCTCCACCCCCTCTGTACCCCTCTCCACCCCCTCTGTACCCCCTCTGTACCCCCTCTGTACCCCCTCTCCACCCCCTCTCCACCCCCTCTGTACCCCCTCTCCACCCCCTCTCCACCCCCTCTGTACCCCCTCTCCACCCCCTCTCCACCCCCTCTGTACCCCCCCTCTCCACCCCCTCTCCACCCCCTCTCCACCCCTCTGTACCCCCTCTCCACCCCCTCTGTACCCCCTCTCCACCCCCTCTCCACCCCCTCTGTACCCCCTCTGTGCCCCCTCTCCACCCCCTCTGTACCCCCTCTCTACCCCCTCTCCACCCCCTCTCTCCCCCCTCTCCACCCCCTCTGTACCCCCTCTCCACCCCCTCTGTACCCCTCTCCACCCCCTCTCCACCCCCTCTCCACCCCCTCTCCACCCCCTCTGTACCCCCTCTCTACCCCCTCTCTACCCCCTCTCCACCCCCTCTGTACCCCCTCTCCACCCCCTCTCCACCCCCTCTCCACCCCCTCTCCACCCCCTCTCTACCCCCTCTCCACCCCCTCTGTACCCCCTCTCCACCCCCTCTCCACCCCCTCTCCACCCCCTCTGTACCCCCTCTCTACCCCCTCTCCACCCCCTCTCTCCCCCCTCTCCACCCCCTCTGTACCCCCTCTCCACCCCCTCTGTACCCCCTCTCCACCCCCTCTCCACCCCCTCTCCACCCCCTCTCCACCCCCTCTCTACCCCCTCTCCACCCCCTCTGTACCCCCTCTCCACCCCCTCTGTACCCCCTCTCCACCCCCTCTCTACCCCTCTCCACCCCCTCTCTACCCCCTCTCCACCCCCTCTGTACCCCCTCTCTCCCCCCTCTCCACCCCCTCTGTACCCCCTCTGCACCCCCTCTCCACCCCCTCTGTACCCCCTCTCTCCCCCCTCTCCACCCCCTCTCTACCCCCTCTCTACCCCCTCTGTACCCCCTCTCCACCCCCTCTCTACCCCCTCTCTACCTCCTCTCTCCCCCTCTCCACCCCCTCTCTACCCCCCTCTCTACCCCCCTCTGTACCCCCTCTCCACCCCCTCTGTACCCCCTCTGTACCCCCTCTCCACCCCCTCTCCACCCCCTCTCCACCCCCTCTCCACCCCCTCTGTACCCCCTCTGTACCCCCTCTCCACCCCCTCTGTACCCCCTCTCCACCCCCCTCTCCACCCCCTCTCCACCCCCTCTCCACCCCCTCTCTCCACCCCTCTCCACCCGCTCTGTACCCCCCTCTGTGCCAGTACGAGCGGGGAGATCGGCAGCCTGACGGAGCGCCTGGCTCTGGCGACGCTGCGCCTTGAGCAGTATGAGGCACGCCTGCGGGCACAGGAGGGCGACATGAAACGTCTGCAGCACGAGTACGGCGAGCGCCTCCGCTGCAGCGAGGGGCGGCTGCAGCAGCAGCAGCGTGACAAGGAGCGCCAGATGGGGGTCATCATTGACAGGTACGCGATGGTGGGTGGGGGGGGAGAGTGTGGGGGGGGAGTGTGGGGGGGAGAGTGGGGGAGAGTGGGGGGGAGTGGGGGGAGAGTGGGGAGAGAGTGGGGGAGAGTGGGGGAGAGTGGGGGAGAGAGTGGGGGAGAGTGGGGGAGAGTGGGGGAGAGTGGGGGAGAGTGGGGGAGAGTGGGGGTGGAGTGGGGGAGAGTGGGGGGAGAGTGGGGGAGAGTGGGGTGGAGTGGGGGGAGAGTGGGGGAGAGTGGGGGGGGAGAGTGGGGGGGAGAGTGGGGGAGAGTGGGGGGGGAGAGTGGGGGGGAGAGTGGGGGAGAGTGGGGGGAGAGTGGGGGAGAGTGGGGGAGAGAGTGGGGGAGAGTGGGGGGGAGTGGGGTGGAGAGTGGGGGGGGAGATGGGGGGGGATAGAGTGGGGGGGGAGAGTGGGGGGGAGAGAGTGGGGGGGATAGAGTGGGGGGGATAGAGTGGGGGGATAGAGTGGGGGGATAGAGTGGGGGGGATAGAGTGGGGGGGAGAGAGTGGGGGGGAGACTGGATTGTGTGAGGAGCTCACAAATCCTTGAAAGATCTGGGCAGGGTCCCATCGGTGAGCTCCTCCGGCAGGCAAGGCTGCGATGGCTGGGTCATGTAGCCCGCATGCCCAGCCACCGCATGCCGAAACAGCTTTTGTTTGGCCGGATTGAGGGGGCTAAGCGGGCGCGGCACGGGCTAGAGAAGAGATGGAGTGATGTGGTACAGGAGGACGTGGAGCTGAGTGGACTTGCCGATGACTGGTACCAGCGGTGTCAAGATCGGCCTCTGTGGAGGAGGCTCGTGAAGGATGCTACTGGGCAGTTGGAGGCAGTCGCCCTCCAACAACAACGGAGGGCGGAGGAGCGACGCTCACAACAGCGAGCGGAGCGCCGGGTGGCTAAAGCACAGCAGGTTGGCACAGTAGGGGGCACAGGTGGTGCACCAGCCAGTCATCTCAGTCAGTCGACCCGTGGCACCTGGGTCTGCCCCGTGACCTCCTGCCAGCGGCGTTCGACACTTCACGTGGCCTCAGGGTGCACATAGCCTGGCACAAGCGTCGTGGTGACGTCACAGCCACTTAGTGGCGAATGGCGGTTGTTGTTGTGTCTGTGTGTGTCTGTGTGTCTGTGTGTGTGTCTGTGTGTGTGTCTTTGTGTGTCTATGTGTGTGTGTCTGTGTGTGTGTCTATGTGTGTGTGTGTGTGTCTGTGTGTGTGTGTGTCTGTGTGTGTGTGTGTGTCTGTGTGTGTGTGTGTCTGTGTGTGTGTCTGTGTGTCTGTGTGTGTGTCTATGTGTGTGTCTGTGTGTGTCTGTGTGTGTGTGTCTGTGTGTGTCTGTGTGTGTCTGTGTGTGTGTCTGTGTGTGTCTGTGTGTGTGTGTCTGTGTGTGTCTGTGTGTCTGTGTGTGTGTGTCTGTGTGTGTGTGTCTGTGTGTGTGTGTCTGTGTGTGTGTCTGTGTGTGTGTGTCTGTGTGTGTGTCTGTGTGTGTGTCTGTGTGTGTGTCTGTGTGTGTCTGTGTGTGTGTGTGTGTGTCAGGCTGATGGCGGTGGAGAGTCGTCTTGGACAGGAAGGTGCGGGCAGCCAGGCTGACTCCCAGGGCAAGCTGAAGGTGAGGCAGCTGCCGCTGGGGGTGCCCCTCAGGCCGCGTCTGCTATGGTGGTGGTCTTCTTCCACACACAGGCAGGGAGCTAGTGGGTGGGTGGGTGGGTGGTGGGTGGGTGGGTGGTGGGTGGGTGAGTGATTGGGTGGGTGAGTGATTGGGTGGGTGGGTGAGTGATTGGGTGGGTGAGTGATTGGGCAGGTGGGTGGGTGGGTGAGTGGGTGGGTGGGTGAGTGAGTGGGTGAGTGGGTGGGTGAGTGAGTGGGTGGGTGAGTGATTGGGTGGGTGGGTGAGTGGGTGGGTGAGTGGGTGGGTGAGTGAGTGTGTGGGTGAGTGAGTGAGTGGGTGGGTGTGTGGGTGAGTGGGTGGGTGGGTGAGTGGGTGGGTGAGTGGGTGGGTGAGTGATTGGGTGGGTGGGTGGGTGAGTGAGTCAGCGAGTGGGTGAGTGAGTGAGTGAGTGGGTGAGTGGGTGGGTGTGTGGGTGAGTGGGTGGGTGGGTGAGTGGGTTGGTGAGTGGGTGGGTGAGTGGGTGGGTGAGTGATTGGGTGGGTGGGTGAGTGAGTCAGCGAGTGGGTGGGTGGGTGAGTGGGTGGGTGAGTGGGTGGGTGAGTGAGTGGGTGATCGAGTGGGTGAGTGAGTGAGTGGGTGAGTGAGTGAGTGGGTGGGTGAGTGAGTGAGTGGGTGAGTGAGTGAGTGGGTGGGTGAGTGAGTGGGTGAGTGAGTGAGTGGGTGAGTGAGTGAGTGTGTGTGGTGAGTGAGTGAGTGAGTGGGTGGGTGTGTGAGTGGGTGAGTGAGTGCCAGTGCCAAACTCGCACCGCCACCACCACCAGCACCACCAACCCCCCCCTTCTCTCCCTCCCCCCCGATTCCCGCAGGACATTGCTGGTGCTGGTGGTGGTGTTGTTGGTGGTGGTGTTGTTGGTGGTGGTGTTGTTGGTGGTGGTGTTGTTGGTGGTGGTGTTGGTGGTGGTGTTGGTGTTGTTGGTGGGCGGGGCGGTGGAGGTGGCACAGCCTCAGACACCAAGGAGCGTGCTGCCCTGCCACCCTGGAGCGGCTTGCCGGGCACCACCGCCACCACCGCCACCACCGCCACCACCGCCACCACCGCCACCACCGCCACCGCCACCACCACCACCACCGGCGTAGCAGCAGCAGCGGCGGCGGCGGTGGGCGGCAGAGGAGGAGGAGGAGGAGGAGCGGTCGTGCCAGGCTCCGTCGGGCACCCTCACCACCACCCTCACCACCACCCTCACCACCACCCTCACCACCACCCTCACCACCCTCACCACCCTCAGCCTCACCACCACCACCACCACTCACGGCCGACCAACAGCTCCTGCTGAGAGGAGACGAAGTGAGGGGGGGGTTGTTGTGGTGGGGCGCTGTGGGTGGACACTGTGGGTGACACTGTGGGTGACACTGGGTGACACTGTGGGTGACACTGTGGGTGGACGCTGTGGGTGACACTGTGGGTGACACTGGGTGACACTGTGGGTGACACTGTGGGTGACGCTGTGGGTGACATTGTGGGTGACACTGTGGGTGGCACTGTGGGTGGTGCTGTGGGTTGGTTGCTGTGGGTGGTGCTGTGGGTGGTGCTGTGAGTGACACTGTGGGGGACACTGTGGGTGACACTGTGGGTGGCACTGTGGGTGGCATTGTGGGTGGCGCTGTGGGTGGTGCTGTGAGTGACACTGTGGGTGACACTGTGGGTGGTGCTGTGAGTGACACTATGGGTGACACTGTGGGTGTACACTGTGGGTGGCACTGGGGGTGGCATTGTGGGTGGCGCTGTGGGTGGCGCTGTTTGGTGGTGCTGTGGGTGGTGCTGTGGGTGGTGCTGTGGGTGACACTGTTGGTGGCACTGTGGGGGGCACTGTGGGGGGCACTGTGGGTGGCATTGTGGGTGGCGCTGTGGGTGGTGCTGTGGGTGGCGCTGTGCCACCGCCACCACCGTCACCACAACCACCATCACCACCATCACCACCATCACCACAACCACCATCACCACCACCGCCCACCACCCCACTCCGCCCGCTGTCCGGGAGTCTGTGACCTCGCTGTGCACCGATTGGTGAAGTATGGCGCCCTGGTCGCCTGTGGAGGTCGCTCCACTCGGCACTGCCGCTACCGCGCCAAGCTCCGTCTACAGCTGGATGGTGATGGTGGTGATGGTGATGGTGGTGATGATGATGGTGGGGGTTGATGGTGGTGGTGGTGGATGGTGGTGGTAGTGATGGTGGTGGTTGATGATGGTGATGGTGGTGACTGATGGTGGTGATGATGGTGGTGATGGTGATGGTGGTGGTGATGGTGGTGGTGATGGTGGGTGGTGATGGTGGGTGGTGTGTGGTGGGGTGGGCGGGTGGTGGTTGGTGGGAGGGAGGTGTTGCAGTTGATGGGTAGGGGGGGGCGGTGGTGAGTCGGGGGTTGGTGAGTTAGTAATGGAGGTGGGTGAGTGAGTTAGTAAGTGAGTGGGTGAGTGAGTTAGTAAGTGAGTGGAGTGGGTGAGTTAGTTAGTGAGTGGGGGGTGAGTTAGTGAGTGGGTGGGTGAGTTAGTAAGTGAGGGGTTGAGTTAGTGAGTGGGGTGAGTTAGTGAGTGGGTGAGTTAGTGAGTGGTGAGTGGGTGAGTGTGGTTGGTGAGTGGTGAGTGATGCTGCAGCAGCTCCTGACAGGGTTATTTCCTCTCGTGCGTGTTAACGGTGATTAATGCGCTGGCGATGTCATCGATGTTAATGATGATGATCGATTATTCATCATGATGATCGATTAATCATGATGATGATCGTCTCCGGAGCGAGACTGAGTTTGTGACTCACGTGATGGCGTCAATGATCACAATTACAACACGCACACAGACATGCACATACACACAGACACACACACAGACAGATGCACATAGACACGCACACATACAGCCAGACACACAGACACGCACACACAGACACACACAGACAGACGCGTGTGTGTATATATTTTGTAGGGTGGTAGTTGATGTGAGTTTGTGTGGCTGTATTCAGGTTTAAATAAACTTTTAATATTTGTACACACACAGACACACAGGTGCACACACACACACAGGTGTACACACAGACACAGGTAGACACACGTACACACAGGTGTACACACAGACACACAGGTGTACACACAGACACACAGGTGTACACACAGACACAGGTACACACACGTACACAGACACACAGGTGTACACACAGACACACAGGTGTACACACACACACACAGGTACACACAGGTGTACACACACACGTACACACAGATACACACACGTACACACGTCACACACGTCACACAAACACGTCACACACGTCACACACACGTCACACAAACACGTCACACACTCGTTACACACGTCACACACAC